CCAGCACCCCTACCATCCTAGCCCTGGGCTCCCTCCGTGGTCTGCTGATGCCCCACCATCCTCAGCCACAGCCCCACCTTTGCCAGCCCCACTCTGGTCTCCCCCCAGTTCTTCCCATTCCCTTCCCACCCCCAAGGTCCCACCTTTGTGCTCTTCCAATAGCTCCTCTCCATGAGTCACCTGCAGTCTTCACCTCTTTCTTCTGGGCTGCATAACAGGAGTAGCCTCTGTGCCCTTAGGGGAGTGAGGAGGGCAGCAGGTGCTGGCTCAAGAGCAGCAGGGCCCAGGCCTGGGGCTGTGCAGGATACTGCTAGTAGGTGGCACTAGTGGACACTGACACATGGGAAGGAGATTGAGTGGGGGCTGGGGGCTCCAGTTGGCATCAGCTTAGCACTTGCCCCATGGAAAGGTGGGGTTGTTGCATCCAGTGGGCTGTGTGTGATGGGAGCTCATACAGCTGGGCCTAGAACAGTGAGTCAACAACATTTTTGGGCAGAGTGCCAAAAACACCTGCACCTTCAACTTGTAAGATGTTGGCATGCCAGGGCAGATGGCAGGGGAACCACAAGGGGCCAAATTCTTGTTGCCGTGTAGCCCCAGCCCCCTCCCTGACATCCACCCAGTCACATATGCCAAGCAAAATGCCTTTGAGCGCCACACTGGCACCTGTGTCGGGGTTGCCTACCCCTGGCCTAGAGCCTGTTGTCTGGGCCAGAGGCGCTCAAAATGGAGTAAATGCCACAAACTGCCCACCCCTTCCATGAGCTGTGGCCTCTGCCCAAGCCCCTGGCACCTGGGGTGGGCTCCCTTTGACCCTGTTGTTCTGGTTCCCTGCTGTGCTGAGGAAGTGGGGGAAGCAGCTGGGTTGGCATGAAACCCCTGTTTCTACCTCCTGCTGCCTGAGGAAGAACTGGTTAAAGCCCCCAAGCCCCACCCCCCCGCACTTGCGATGGAGGGACATGGGGAGGGCATAACTGCAGGGTGCTGTCCTGGAGCCCACTGGGGCAAAGACATAGGCACTGGCATCAGGACACTTGGGTTCCCTCGCAGTGTCCCACAAGTTTGGTAACCTGGACTCTGCTTTGTGCTAGGAGAGGCTGGGGCCAAATTTGCCGGATGCCCTGAGACCCACTCAGTTGAAGGGCAACGCATGTGTGTTTTGGACTGGAGGTGCCCTTGAGAACACAATGGGGATTGAGCCCTCTTCTGTGGGTTTAGCCTGAGTCACCCTCTCTTGACTTCTCTAGGGACTCTGCTTTCTGTAGGGGCTTCTTGGTTTTGCTCCCTGATGCCTTATAAGTTCTCCTTGAGGATTATACTGTCTCTCACCACCCACCTGTTAACTCATGGTCCTGCCCGCTAGAGGGACAGGGGGTAAGGAAGTCCGTTACTCCCTGCCCCCTGAGCAGGTGGGGGGGGCATTGCTGTGGGTTGGGCAGGGGTTGTTATGGGAGGAGCCTTCTCTCTCACCCCCATAGTAGCCCATGAACCAGGCAGGGCCATGGTAGGGCCTTGTGGAGCTTGCAGTAACATGACCATCTCCCTGCAACATGTCCTTCACTCCCATGGCTCCGTACCAGTGAGCCACGGGCACCTCAGAGCGCTCGGGGGGCAGCCTCCCTGGCTGTGGCCTGCTCTGGGGCAGGGCCCACAGGATCACACCAGTGGACTAGCACCAGAGTGGGGCCATGGGACAGGATATTGGGAGTCCCCCTGGCTGGAGCCTGTTCAGGATGCCAAGGTTTGTGCCGTGGTTCCTAAGGAAGGGATCATGGAAGCTTTCAGCAGGGGCTGGGGGGGCACCTCTGTGTTAGAGATTTGGCCTGTTCAGCCCTGACCAGAGGGCTAAGCGCCCCATCTTGCCCCATGCAGCACAGCACCCCCTAGTGCAGTGCTAGGGACCCCACCATAAGCAGAGAGCACATGAGCATGCTGAGATCCTGGGGCCAGCCCTTGCCCCCAGCAGGGAGACACTGGCACTCCCAGCAGCACTTGGAGCACCCCAGCAACTTCCTCCTCCAGTTCTGTCACCCCCAGGTGTCCCCACCATCACTGGCTCCTTTGAGAACAGGGGCCCCACTGGGATGCTGGAGATGGGAAGTGGGGATCCCCTCACCCCACTTCCCTGCTGCCTCCCTTCTGTGCTGCACTGTGTGGTTGTTGCCGTGCTATAAATCTGTACAAGGAATCTCTCCCTCAGCCAAGACAAACTTGACCTACTTTCCCGTTTGTCCCTGCACTGAGATGGGAGCTTTCGGCAGAGGCCGCTGGCGAGCCAACCAAGCCCCATGCCCAGAGCCCCACTGTGCATCTGGGGTGGGAGATAGCTGCATGACTGCTCCTGGGACCACAGGCCCTGCCTGGCGGGCAACAGTGCCTGGTCCCTCTAGGCTGATGTCCCACCTCACTGGGTCCTGGGCTGGTTAGCTCTGCCGCAGCCAGACACCAGCTAGGGAAGTGCAGTTCTTCCCACAACCTGGTGACCTACAGGATGAACCCAGTGATGCCAGCCACTGCCTGGGCAGCCATGCGGTGTGTATGCATGCAGTGTCCTGGGGTGCAGCAAGGTGGACAGCCCAGCACACCCTTCATGGATGCCTCTGCCTATGCCCACTGCGTGGCCTAGCTGATAATGGCTGGGCTGACCTGCTTTGGATGATGCCTCTGTTACCTCCAGCTTCCATGTCATGGTCTGTCAGGGTCTGGGTGCCCTGAGCAGAGGCCTGGCATGGAGCAGAACAGGCCTGGAGCTGTGTCCTGTGTGGCAGGGCAGGGCAGGGCAGGGCAGGGCAGGGCATTCGTTTGCATCATTGTTCCTGGGTAGGATTGTCTGGGTGTGCTGGCACATGTTGTGAGGCAAGAGACAGGCAAGAGCCTGCAGAGAGCATGGGTGAGGGCAGGGGTCTTGCATGGGGGTGTGGGGGAGAGGTGTGACAGGGGTCTGGAGGAGGGGAGGCCTGCTGGGTTGCTTCCTGCTCAGGTTGGCGTGAGGGTCTATGTGAGAGAGGATGGTCATGGACCACTGCTGCTCTAATCACTTGTAAAGGACCCTACACATGCAGTCCATGGTACAGAGCACTACCCCTTCTGCCATGGCATGAGCACGGGGTGTATCAGGCAGGTTGGGGCAGGATGGCAGGGGGGCTGAGAGGCAGATCCAGCTCCCAGCTCTGTGGGTGAGTAGGGAGTGACCTACTTGGAAGCTGGGCAGGGGTTGGGTGGGGGCGGGTTTCAGCCTCCAGCAGCCCTTGACACCATTGAGGTGCACTGCTGGGACCTGCATATCATGGGCATTTTGGCCCTGGGCATGTCCCTCTCTTGGCAGACTAACCTGGGAACCTGGGACCAGGGTACCCTTTGACATCCCCCCACACTTTAGGCAGGCTTTGTTTGGGCGGGAACAGAACGCAGTGTACCCTGGAAGCATCATCTGGAGCAGTGGTTCTCAACATCTTTTGTACCAGGACCATGTAAACATTGATGGCCAGTCCCAACCCAGTAAATAGTTTAAGTAGAAACAACTCCCTGGCCCTGTCAATGCCCTTCACTCCAAACCTGGTGGTCCCTGCCCCAAGGCCCCCAGCCCCACAGTGTGTGGGGCAGGGGGCCTCAAACAGCCCCTTGCAGTCCAGGACTCTTACAGCCTGCAAAAGAAAACCTGTCATTTCCCATGATTTCCTCTTTTAAAGGAGAATCCACTTTTAAAGTTTGTTTGTGACCCTTTTATATATTCTTGTGACCCACTTTTGAATCGCAACCCATGGGTTGAGAAACATTGATCTAGAGCCTCTTGGCCTGATCCCAGAGTGGCAGGCCTGCGCGGGGAGAGGAACCGCCTTCCTGATATGTCTGGCCAGGACCATGCCAGCTATCATGGCCAGCTGTGGCCACCATGCCAAAGCAGGGCACTCACGGAAGGGCCTGTCCAGGCACAGCTCCAGCCCTCTCTGTCTGGAGCGTAGCCACACTCCTGCTGGGGATCCTCCACAGGGATCTCAGGTCATCCCCAGTGGGTGGAGGCCACTTCCCAGACCACCCACCTGCACCCTGCCCTGGGCTGGTGTCCCTGTTGCGCTCAGAAGTCTCTCAGACAGCCCGTTCGGTGGGAGCAGTGGTGTATAGGGATCCTAGGGGTGCCTCTTTTGTGGGAGGAGCTCCTGGGCAGGAGAATCCAGCATTCATACCCAGGCCAGCCTGGTGAGCTTGCGGTGGGCAGCAGGAAGGCCTGGGCAGCTGAGCTGCTGCTCCTGGGAGGCTCCAGCTAGTGGCATCCAGCCCTGTAGAGATGAGCCCAGGCCATGGCTGACAGGAGGAGGTGTAAGCTGTCCTGTTAGTCTCTGAATGCTCCCGGCGTCCTTGGGCTGGTTTGGCACAGGCCACCACCTTCTCCGCTAATAAAATGCCTGTCCAGCACCCCGCCTCCCCACCTCGGCCTCCCCCCACCTTGGCCTGACTGTGGAGTGATTGAAGCAGGGATTAGTGCCCTGGCACCGGCGCCCGGAGCTGTTTGCTCAGCACCACACCCGCTGCCAAGAGCTCATTCATTAACGAGCAAACAAATCTTTGTGCTGCACAAATCGGTTTCCTATGGACTTCTTCATTCACAGCATATCCCATGCTGCCCAGTACCCAGTGCAGCTCAGCCAGGAGGGGGCACCAGACAACCAACTACCCTGGCTCGGCCTGGGCATGGCCCTGACCTCCTGACCTCTCCTCACCCTGCACACCAGACACCTGGGTTCTAGCTTTGCTTCCACAGCTCTGTGCCTCAGTTTCCCCCTGTTTGCTCAGCACATCTGGGTATTACAAGGCTGGAGGAAGTCAGGAAATAGACAGCGTCTGGGTTTTTGCCGTGACAGGCAATGATGTGAGTTGGGCCTATGGGTGGTACTGAGCAGCCTGGTTGGCCATCTGGACCTCACTCACACCTCTTATCCATGAAGTGCTTCCCCCCTAACTTCTGGGCATTATTGACTGATTTTGCTGTTGATCTTTTTTACAGGCAGGATCTTCAGGGTGGAAGAGTGAGACACAGCTGTTTCCAACCCAGTCTCAGCATCTTCTGCCACCGTGAGTTGCTCTCTCTAGACTTTCCAAAAAGCCTGTGTGCTGCTAGGTGTCCCCACAGGGCAGCTCTAGGGGGCATCAGGGTGGCTCAATGTCTCCCTCTAGTGGTTGGTTCACAACCAGGGTTAAAAGCCTCCTGTTGTCACCAGTCCATTCAGCTGCTCCTTCAGCCCCAGTGCCAGAGAGGCCTGTGTTTCAGGAGTGGGAGGGGCTGGGGTCCCATCCTTGCTGGCAGCCAATGTGTCCTTGAGCTCTTTACACAGGTGCCAGCGCTGGTAGCAACTGCCATGGCACAGGTTGTCCAGTTGTTGGGTAGCTCATGGGAATAGACCTTGGGGCCTTTTATCCCCTGGTCAATGGATGAGTAGTTTCTTTCCAGCCCTTGCAAGCAAGGTGAGTTTGGGCTTGGTCTCCGCTTAGTTCCTGTTGCAAAGCCTGCCTCTGTCCCAAACTCCAAGCTCAGCACCTGGCTGGTGAATGCCCTGCACCATCCCTGCAGCCAGCCAGGGTCACCATGTCAGCAAAGGAGCTCGCCCGGTCCTGCTGGGAGGACATGGACCCCCTCCTTCACTGAGGCAGTCAGTCCAATGCCAAGACCATCCCCCACTTCCAGGAGCCAGGCAGCTAGAGACCTGGTGTAAGAGGGGGAAGAGACTCCATAATGGCAGCAGGTGAGGGGCAGGGGGATGATGCCCCCAGGTGTGGGCAGTGTTGTTCTGACTAGAACCATCTGAGCCCAGGAAAGATCAGGGAAACAGCTGTTGGGGGAAGGATGTGCCTGTGGGAAGGGTCTCCCTGCTATGGACTGACTCCCAATCTCTCCCATGAGAGAAAGGGGTACTGGGGCCCATGCTGGCAAGGGTGAAGCATGGAGCAGAAATGAACCCTTGGCCCTCAGAGCAGGAGCACTCTCCCAGTGTGCTTTTTTCAAGCCATCTGGGATCAGGTCCAGCAAGGGGTGTAGGCAACAGCGTGAGGGGTTCTCCTCTAGTGTGCGGCCCTGGGATCCTGGTAAAGAGCTCCAGCTAGGCATGGGGTGTCTGAGTCCTTCAGCTCCCCTGCCCTTGCTCCCCACCCTCAGAAGCCTTTAAGATGTGGCTGAGCCCATGGTGCATGGCAAGACAGACTGGGGGGGCTTGGTGGAGGTTAGTGTGGGGTGCTGGATCAGCCTGGCCTGTGCCCAGAGTAGGCTGGCTGCAGCATGCACCCCTGGACCTGTGACCCCCTGCCCACCTCACAGCTTGACCCATGGAGGTTCTCCAGCTGTGGGGCACCCTCTGCCTCAGCCTGCCCAGGGATCACCCCATAGGTCAGGGCCAGGCTGGACATAGTGCACCTGGCTGTGGCACCTCTTCCCCCTGCCACCCAGGGGTTAACACAGCAGTCACACTAATGGAGGGGCTTTCACAACCTTCAGTGCTGGTTTGTGTAATCTCCTCATGGCAACTGCTTCGGCCTCCCAGCTCCCTTCACTCCACAGCTAGGGCCCTCTTGTTCCCTTGGGGACCCAAGTCTCTTCACAGTCAGCTTCTCAGGCACTTGTGAAGCCTGTCACGGAGGGCACTGTACCAGGCTGGCCTTGCAGTGGCATGTTCCCTTGCCAGCATGGGGTGATGCAGGCCTGGGCAGGCCAGTGGCAATTCCACTGGCCCCTGTGCATGGAGCAAAGCCTTAAGCACATGGCTGCAGCAGGGGTCCTTCTCTGCTTAAAGGCCAGAGCTGGCCACATCTGCCCCCGCCTGCCTCCTGCCCTCCAGCAGGGATCCCCCAAAAGCATCTGAGCTGAGAACCTGCACCAAACACCAAACTTGTCTTGCCTAGAGCCCCCAGGCTGGCCTTGAACCTGTGTCCCTGAGAGTGGAGGGTGGGGCAATGCTTTGAGCATGAGGTCACCAGCCTTCCCTAGCTGTGTGTCTTCCATGCTGCATGGAGTGACTCAGGTGTGTGCCTGTGAGAGGAGGGGGGCGACAAGGATTCTCCCCCACTGTTAGCCAGGGGTGAGATGAGGGCCATTTTCTCCATAGGGGCTGTAGCTGGGCTTCCAGAAGAGGCAGGAGACTGGGTGCAAAAAGGGTAAGAAGGGTCAGCTCTGGGACAGCAGGGACCTGTGGAGGGCTGTGGGGATGAAGGGTTCTACAAGTTGGCTGGACCCATTGGTCCTGATGTGAGGACAGGCCTGGCTGATTGGTGTGATGAGGAAGCATCCCAATGTCTCTCTGTCTCCATACTTTCCTGCCCCCTTCTCTCTCCCCAACTCCTCAGAAGGTTTCTCTCCCTTTTAGCTTCAATAGACAAATTCTGCCCTTCCCAGTATACATTTCCATCGGACTCAGTGTGGCACAAGGCCTGCCCTGCATAATGTCCCAGCCTCCCCCTGTCCCCATTCTCTCCAGCCGTGGGGCCACTAGTGTCCCTAGAGCCAGCTCTGCCCCCTGGCCTCGTGGGGCAGGACATGGGGCTGGAAAGCCACCCCATGGCCCATCACCAGAGGCCAGGATGCACCTCAGGCCTGGCCACAGGTGCGAGGATTAATTGTCCTGGGAGATGCATCAACAAAGCAGAGCCCTGCTATTTCAGCTGCTCCACCAGCCACGCCTGGAAGGGAAGGAGGGGGCAGATAGGACCTTCTGTCCCCCAGACCCTCTTGTGACCCTAGCATTGGTCCAGGGTCTAGCCCCCATGTCCTCTCCTACACCATTTGGGATTTCCTGCCCCGAGCTCTGGCTTTCAGGAGGGACATGGGCAGTGTAGGGCTGTGCGTCCCATGCCGCCCCACCCTACTGGAGCAGACCAGGCTAATCCTGTGCAGGGCCCCTCAATTGAGTTAGGGCTTCTCCTGCCAGGTGTCTGGGGTGGGGGGCGGTGTTTGAAGCCACCACTCCCTCCCTGCGGAGCTGGCGGGAGCTGGTTTTGCAAGACTTGTGTGGGGTTCCATCCTCTCTCTCCCTACCATGCAGCTCCCAGCGCAGTAAATCATGCTGCGTCTCCAGGCCAGGGCCTGCATTCCTCATGCCCTGCCCCAGGCAGCCGCCCTTCTGTGTTGCCATGGGCTTGGGAGACGGATGCCGTGCCCCACCCCAGAAGTGGTTGCATTTGGGTCCCACGTGAGCGAACCCTCTGCAGCATTACTGTGTAGCTACCATGCCCCATCCCAGAGCTGGTCACATTTGGGTACCGGATGAGCAAACTCTGCCCATCATGTTGTCCAGCTGCCATGTTCCACGCCAGAGGTGGCTGCATGTCAGTGCTGGGGTGAGTTCATAGTGGTATATTTACAGAGCCAGCCCTGGTTTCCTCAGTTCCCCTACCCTGTCACCAGCATTGCCCCCTTGCCTTATGAGCTCACTAGTGCTTCCCCTCCTCTGACAGTCCCCGTCCCCCCCCCCATCCCCTTGCTCTCTCTCTGTCTCTCTCTCCCTCTCGCAAGGAATGGTGGGGGGTGGGGGCAACTTCTGTTTCAGCCTGGCACCCAGCCAGCCTCCAGGGATGCCTCTGGGATCCGTGCTGGCTCAGGGAGCGAGTCGGCTTTCCCCATCGACACTGGATAGTGCTGATCAAATAGCTTTTCTCCAGGGGCCCGTATGCCCAGTGCCCAGCCCAGGTCCCAGGCTGCAGTGGGAGATTTCTATTTATGGGAGGGCTGTGGGGCCTAACAGTTAGAGTGGGATTGGAGGAGGCGGGAGGGAGGGACAGGGAGTCAGGTCTCTCCAGGATTTTGTTCCCAGCTCTGCGGCCGACCTGTACGCGACCTTGGTAAGCCCTGTCTGTCTCTGCCTCGCTTTTCCATCCCTGTCTTTAGTCTTGGGAGACCAGGGCTGCCTCTTCCTCAGTGTCTGTGCAGCATCTGGTGCAATGGGTTCCCAGCCACCACCGCTACTGTAATACACCTAGTAGCAATCCAAGCTTTGTAGGCCCAAAGGGATGCAGCCAGGCATTCCCACCCATTTGCCCACTGCCTGCTTTGGGGCACAAAGGGTTACACAGCACATCGGGCTCCATCAAAGAAAGCATTCCTTGTCCAGGGGAGGTTGTTCTCCTCTTTGCCCAGTCCCGCGGCTTCTAAAATTAAACCCTCGTTGGTCACTGTGGGGCCTGGCTCTACCCAGGTACTTGGTGCCAGGGGGCCCTGCCAGCTCCTCCACCTGGCTCCCAAACAGTAACTCAATACAAAGCAGCCAGGGCTGCCCAGTCCCACTCGTCGGTGGGCCGGCTGCCCCTGCTGCCGGGCGGATCTGTGCCTTCGCAGCCAGCATCCAAGGCAGGCCCTGCTTGCTTAAACCATGCCTGGCCCTGCTCAAACCTGGGCCCTGGCAGCGGGTGGCTGGACAGATTGGACTGGGTTATAGCTGCCTCAGTCAGAGATTGCTGTGTTAGGTAGAGGGAGCAGAGAGCTGCCAGCAGGGAGACCCATCGCTGAAAGCAGGCAGAGTTCAGAGAGGTGGTAGTGTCCAAGGTGATGGTAGCATCTAGCAAGGTCCACAGCCTCCTGGGTGTTGTACACAGCACACACACACAGAGGCTGCACACATGTGTGTGTATCCAGAGCCATGGACCATCCAAGCCCCCATGAGCTTAGAATTAAACGTGGCTTCTGGGTTCTGTCCTCTGCTCTCCATGTTCAGTGCTGGATAGGCCGTAATCTCTGTCTTGATTTCCTGGCCTGCATGACCAGATGGGGCCTCCCCATCCCAATCAGGAAATAATTGTGCTGTGCAGGGTGCTCAGTGGAGGGCACTAAGGACAGGCAGAGGGATCCAGACAGGACCTGCAGACTTACATGCTCCCTGGCCTGTGGCTGTGCCAACATGTGAGGGTGGGGGCTGGCGGTGCATTATGAGTTGCCCCCAACAACTGGCTGTCATTAACTAGCCCAGGGGTGCTCAACTCCTGGCCTGCAGACCAGATCTAGCCCCCAGCACCATGTCAACCAGCCTGAGGCTGTGACTCTGCATGCTATTGAATGCAGAGCTCAGTCCCAGCATGCAGGGTTGGGCAGAGGCAAT